CCCCCCCCCCCCCCCATTATTTTTTTGGCCAATAGAGATCTATATTCCAACGGGAGAAGTCGCTCCCTGGGAATTTCAACTGCAGATGGTTCCAGTTCCAATTCGGGCGAGCCAAACTTCAGGAACTGCTTCTGCCAGAGAGGCAGAATTACAATGAAAAGAAATCGCGGCGCGACGAGCTCGCAATAACGTTAAAGCTCGCGCTCTGCGATTCATTCGCCGTCAGGAAATCGGCGTGCAAATTCCCTTCGAGCTGCGAGCTGAGGCCTCTCTCGAATTCACTTAAATGTGCCAAAAAAAAAGCAGGACCGAAAAGTCGGGCGATCTTGAAATTTGTCACGCAAAAAAAATTTGGCACTCGTACTATAAATCAATTAGAGTTTCAAGAGTGCGGAATTCGATAAAACTTGCCATAAATTTTCCCAAATTTTCTTTTTAATGGTGTTATTGCTTCGACTCACGACAGAAACTTTTTTTGCACTTTTTCAATGAGTTTTTCTGCCGTTTTTGAAATGTGGATTTTCGGCAAATTTTCTTTACGAAATTTCTTTCCACACAATTTGCGTGCAGAATTTCTTATTTTTGGTCGGTCCTTTTTTTTGGCTCTGAGTACATTACTGGTTCAAAATATATGTTAATATGTTGGATATTAACCGGGGTTAATATCCATAATATCCAATGGGTTCGGTGGCCGAGTGGTTCTGGCTTCCGAGTGAAACCCGGGAGGCGAGGGATCGCGTCCGTGTGACGGCGCGCTCTTCCTCCGCCTCCGCGACCCACCTGCTTTCATGGGGAGTATCTGCTTAGCGTGGGATAACACACGCGCCACCCTGTGTGCCACGTCTAGGAGATGCGGGTGCAGTACACCTAAGTGTACTGCACCCGCATTTTAAGTACACCTTAAAAACCACTCGTGTCAGTCATGGGCATAGGCAACCCATGAGCTGCCCCTAAGGCCTCCTACAGGACCGTAAAGGGGTGTCCCAGCGTCCCAGGGACTGTGATACGGATGTGGTGCTCGTGACAAGCGGGCACCTCCTTCCTCTCTCTGTCATGTAAAATGCGTCCGTCCTGTATGTCCGTCACATGTCCTGTCTTTAAATAAATATGTTGGATATTTATTCTTTATGCATTAGCTTGCGCTCATCCATGAAATTTCGAAACTTGAACAAAAAAAAAGTTTTTAAAATAAATTATTCCACGGAAAGGACTTCGAAAGTCGTATCGGTATCATGAACGCAATTTTTCCCCTCGATTTTTTGAATCTGTACCGGTATCCTAGTTACCACTTCCGCGAGGCAGAAGCGATGAGGTCACGTGACTTCCGCGTGGACGAAGCCGAATGCTCCACGAGCAAACAGAATTTAAAAATTGATGAGGCTTGCGACGGAAATGATGGACTCGTCGAGGGAAAAACGGGTACGATGGAAAACCACATCGATTCTCCGAGTCTGGTCGCCTTCGCGACCGGACGATCGCGAAGGCGACCAGACGATCGCGAAGGCGAAAGCCGTCAATTGCAAGCGATCGTGATCCCCGCATCGCGCCGACGGATATTTCCCAGAGAAGTGCGAAACGGACCAATAGCCACATTCCGAGTTCTCGGTCTGCATAATTCCAACCGCAACGAAACCTCATCGACTCTCACGACAAAAAATTCTCTATCTCGCCGCAAGGGACACCGTGACCATCGACGATCCACCGAGGACTGGAGGCAGGTTCGCGAGAACTGGAGGCACGACCTCCTACCCCCCCCCCCCCCCCCCTCCCCCTTCACGCGGTGGGACCTCCGCACTACAACGTACCTCCGATCCATTCAAAATCGATGGAGCTCGTCGATGGAAACAACAGAACGGGCTCTCGGGCAAAGACTCCGCCATGCTCTTCTCCCTTCGCCGGCCGTGGGGGATCGCCCGGTGTCGCCTTCGCCTGGCCCTGCTCGCCCTCCTCGCCTTCTTCTTCTTCGTCGCCGGCCCGCGCCGTGAGATTCCGTTCCGACTCCGTCACTTTTCGAGTGCTTCCGTCGTTTCGCGAGCTTCCTTTTTTTTTCCGCGGGGATCGTCTAGGCGCAACGACGGTGTCGAAACGGGGATCGGATGCGAATCTCGTTCTCCTCCTGTCGACGTGGCACCGCACCGGATCCACCTTCCTCGGTACGACCCCTCCAAACCCTAACCGCCTTTTTCCACCGAATTTTTTTTAAAGAGAAAATCCGACTCGGAACGACAGGAGAGGCCCTGACATCGCCTTCCCGTGCGTATTTCTTCGAGCCCCTCTGGCTGACCCGAACCCGCAAGGACGACAAGGGCGACTGGCCCCGTCTCCTCCGCGGCCTCTACGAGTGCGAGTCCCGAGAGATCGACCGTTTCCTGCCAAACCTCCGCGCTGCCAGGTGAGTGTTCGCCGTCGCGCGGTGGTCGCCGTCGCGCGGTGGTCGCCGTCGCATGGCGTGGTCTGTCGTGTTTGAGGTTGGTACTTTTTTGCTTTCCCTTCACCCCGCCGTTCTGTTCTCACCTCAATCCCGCCCACAGATGGTCCGAGTCGAAGATCGCGCTGACGCTAGAAAAAAATAAAAACGAAAAAACAAGAACACTCGTCTTCGTTTAGCCTTTAGCTTCTTGTCGTGGCCAATGGACGAGGCATTCCGGTTTAGTCAATATGAATAAAATAATCATGGAATCGCTGCACGATAAAACAGATTCCATCGTTACACGACGTAATCGCATTCCCCAGCCCATCCGCCAAACCCAACAAGAGTTTTTGGCACAAGCCAAAGGGAAAACTGGCCCTCCCCCCCCCTCTCTTCTCCCCCTCCCCCCC